ATCCATTTGTGTGTGTTATGGGGAGAAATCATTTTTCTCATTTGCAGCACTTTGTAAATCCAGGTTTGGTTGCTTGCTTGTGGTTGTTAAGATCCATGGCCCCTTCCTCAGGTTAATCCAGGCATCCACCACCGTCTTGGTCCTCCAGAGCAGTAGAGTTTTTCATTTTTATTATTCTTACTGGAGTGGTTTCTTTGAGTTCAGTTTTCTGCCCCAACTGAAGCCTCCGACTCAGGGCATTCTGGAATAACATCTGGTGAATCAAAGTAGGCATTATCCAATCATCCTGATGTAATCTGACGGAATATCCACTGTCTGGGGATAAGTCACTAAGGCATATGAAGTTCTGAGAGTATGAATTGTGTGGGACACAGGATTCTTCCAGGTGGAGGTTTATTATGGAATCAGTGGGTCCAATTCTTTTCCTTCCACCGCCATGGTTGCCCCGAGGCATTCTGGGATTTGCAGTTTGCTGATGACTCTGGTCGTTCTCTGTTAAAGGTCCTTAGCCACCCTCACAGGACAGAAGTTTTCGGGATGACATTTAAACTGCTTTGAATCTGCCACACAGACACGCTCATAAATTAGTTTAAGAGGGAGTTGACAAGACACACCAGTAACTTCCCCACTGAACAACACACTCATTCGCAGATGGCACCAAACTGGGAGGGGTAGCTAATTCCTTAGAAGACATAATCCAAATTCCAAATGACTTTAACAGATTGGAGAACGGGATCCAAGCTAACAAAATGAAGTCCAGTAAGGTTCTGCCCTTAGGCAGGAAGAACCAGGTGCACAAATATAAGATGTGGGACACCTGGCTTACTAGCGGTACATGTGAAAAGGATCTAAGAGTCTTGGTGAACAACAAGCTCAACAGGTGTCAACAGTGTGATGCAGCAGCAAAAAAAGGCTAATGCTATTCTAGGCTGCATCAAGAGAAGTATAGTGTCCAGATCAAGGGAAGTAATAGGTAAAGGTAAAGGGACCCCTGACCATTAGGTCCAGTTGTGGCCAACTCTGGGGTTGCGGCGCTCATCTTGCTTTATTGGCCGAGGGAGCCGGCGTACAGCTTCCGGGTCATAGGGCCAGCATGACTAAGCCGCTTCTGGCGAACCAGAGCAGCGCACCGAAACACCGTTTACCTTCCTGCCGGAGCGGTACCTCTTTATCTACTTGCACTTTGGCGTGCTTTTGAACTGCTAGGTTGGCAGGAGCAGGGACCGAGCAACGGGAGCTCACCCCGTCGCAGGGATTCGAACCGCTGACCTTCTGATTGGCAAGTCCGAGGCTCTGTGGTTTAACCCACAGCACCAACCGCGTCCCTAGGGAAGTAATAGTCCCACTCTATTCTGCCTTGGTCAGACCCCACCTGGAATACTGTGTCCAATTCTGGGAGCCACAATTTAAGAAGGATGTTAAGCTGGAACATGTGCAGAGGAGGGCAACCAAGATGATCGAGGGTCTGGAAACTGAGCCTTATGAGGAACGGTTGAAGGAGCTGGGTGTGTTTAGCCTGGAAAAGAGGAGAATGAGAGGATATCTGACAGTCATCTTCAAATATCTTAAGGGCTGTCCCATGGAGGAGGGAGCATGCTTATTGCCTCATGCTCTGGAGGGTAGGACTCGAACCCATGGCTCCAAGATGCAGGAAAGGGGATTCTGACTAAACATTCGGAAATGTTCAGCAGTGGAATGTACTCCCTCAGGAGGTGGTGGACTCTCCTTCCTTGGAGGTTTCTAAACAGAGGTTGGAGGGCCATCTGTCATGGAGGCTTTAGCTGAGGTTCCTACATTGCAGGGGGTTGGACTAGATGCCCCTTGGGATCCCTTTCAACTTTATGGTTCTGCGATTTAGTTTGCCCCAGTGTTATCTCTGGTCCATCAGCTTTTGAGGTCCATGAATAACCATAGTTTAGAGGTCCCGGGCCCTAAGGAAGTCAGACTATCCTCCACCAGGGCCAGGGCCTTTTCAGTGATGGCTCCGACCTGGTGGAATGCTCTGTCCCATGAGACTAGGACCCTTCAGGATTTAACCTCCTTCCGTCAGGCCTGTAAGACAGAGCTATTCCGCCTGGCCTTTAATTTGAATTCAGCCTGATCTTTTATTTCCCTTCTCTTCCCTCCCCCTCCCCTTTTATGAAGATTACCCACTCTGAGACCCCACAGCTAATTCTCCCCTGGCCTCCTCGCTGGCCCAAGTAGGACCAATTCAGCCAGCTAGCCCTGGGCAATTTTCTAATTGATTTTTGATTTTTGAATTTTATTGTTATTCATGTTTTTATACTGTATTTTATGCTGCTTTTATAATTAAGTATTTTAAAGTGTTTTAAATTTGTTGTTAGCCACCCTGAGCCCGGTTTTTGAACAGGGAAGGGTGGGGTATAAATAAAAAATTATTATTATTATTATTATTATTATTATTATTACAAAACCCTGCAAGATCGGTGAACAAGAGGAGTTTATCCGACCTCCCACCCACAGGGCAACAACATCTCTAACATCTTGTACAACCTCAAAAACACTCTACGCTGTCCCTTTATTCAGCCATAGCTGCATTTGCTTTCGGGCTCAGCCAAAATGTAGCTTTGTGACAGCCAGAAGACGCTGACACCTGCTGGTAAAATGTTAGAATTGCTGCCATATCTGTGCCACCATCTTTCAAAGGGAGAGGGGTAGAATGGCTCATGAAAGGTGGAGAATAGCACCCTCTGTTGCCTCTGAATGAAGTTTTTCCATCTTCTTTTTTTACTCACCCTTTCCCCCTCCTCCTCCTCCTCCCTCTTCCCTCATAAATCTCTCTCCTTAGTCTCCAAATTTTTGCTCAAGTAATTTTGATGTAGAAGTGAGAGCTGGACCATAAAGAAGGCTGATTGCCAAAGAATTGATGCTTTTGAATTATGGTGCTGGAGGAGACTCTTGAGAGTCCCATGGACTGCAAGAAGATCAAGCCTATCCATTCTTAAGGAAATCAGCCCCGAGTGCTCACTGGAAGGACAGATCCTGAAGCTGAGGCTCCAATACTTTGGCCACCTCATGAGAAGAGAAGAATCCCTGGAAAAGACCCTGATGTTGGGAAAGATGGAGGGCACAAGGAGAAGGGGACGGCAGAGGACGAGATGGTTGGACAGTGTTCTCGAAGCTACCAGCATGAGTTTGACCAACTGCGGGAGGCAGTGGAAGACAGGAGTGCCTGGCGTGCTCTGGTCCATGGAGTCACGAAGAGTCGGACATGACTAAACAACAACAACAACAACAATTTTGATGCCTGAAGTGGAGCAGACAATGCCACTGCCTATCCAAGCTGAGGTCCACCAAGTACCCAAGTCCGGAATAATTTTGATACCCAAGGAAAAATATTTCACAAGCACATCTCTCTCTCTCTGTGGCAGCAGGGGGGGAAAGGATGGGGCGGGCCAGAATAATGAGACATTAAATAGCTAACATTCTGCTGCCTTTTCATGATACAAACAATCAGCTGCCTGAAGTGGCCACTTCACTTTGTCCAGTGGTATGGCTAGACCTGTATTAAAATATTTTAAATACGGGGGGGAAGAATATATGACTATATGACTGAAATAGTTATGGGAAGGTGCATGTTTCTGGAACAAAGGCAAATACAGTCCTACCTTGGATGCCCTGGCTCCTGAACAAATTGGCTCCTGAACGCCACAAACCCGGAAGTGAGTGTTCCAGTTTCTGAACGATTTTCAGAAGCCAAACATCCAGCGCCGCTTCCGTGGCTTCCGATTGGCTGCAGGACGCGCCTGTAGCCAATCAGAAGCCACGCTTTGGTTTCTGAACTTTTTGGAAGTCGAACAGACTTCCGGAATGGATTCTGTTTGACTTCCGAGGTACAACTGTATAGAATCCAGGAGAACATGATATGAATTGAATTACCAATCCAGAATGTCAAAGGAGTAGCAAGCAAAATAAAACCTTTAATAAGCATTTGTATATAGATATCTGTATAAGGCAGGAAGTGAATGATTTTATATTATTGGGTCTTGAATTCTATACATCTCAATTGGTTATTTTTGCTGATACAGGAAAATATGCATTATTATCATCATCATTATTACCACAACTATGGTTGAATATGACTTGTTATTCTTAGCCAATAATTTACAGCACTGAAGCAAAATCTGGAAAAACAGTTTTTAAACATTACATTTTTAAACAGATCATTCCAAGGTAAACCTTTCTTGAAGTTGGGCTAAACATTTCTACATCCTTCCCATTTGTTTTTGCTTTAAGTCCCCCAAGTGGGGGGAAATGGCAGTTTTCCCATCCTTATTCCTCTCCTGGCTTTCAAGCTGCCACAAATCAAAATCCTGCTATCAGGAATGTACATAGAGCAGGGATTCCCAAACTGTGGCACACAAGTTTCATTCAGGTGATCTACAGCATGCTCATGTTAAATATTCATATTGATTCTTAATTGGGGGTTTTTTATTGCTTCTTTTATTTCTTTCATTTTCCTGCATTATGTCTTGAATTCTATGGGAGGCAAATCTAGCTCAACACATTACAATTGCTACAAGAGACAGACAAATCATTAGGCGGCCCACCAAGAGAATTAACCATTTTCAAGCGGTTCGTGGAGGGGGTAGGAAGTTGAGGAATTACTGTAGGCTCGAGGATGACGGCACTTACTCCAAGACTATACAGTTGTACCTTGGGTTACGAACTTAAATCGTTCTGGAGGTCCGTTCTTAACCCAAAACCATTCTTAACCTGAGGCAACCTTTCGCAAATGGGGCCTCCCACTGCCGCCGCGCCTCCACCACGCAATTTCTGTTCTCATCCTGGGGCAAAGTTCGCAACCCGAGGTACTACTTCCGGGTTAGCAGAGTTTGTAACCCAAAGCGTTTGTAACCACTCTGTACACATATCTTTTAAATTCTTTCCCCCCCTCCTTTTTTATATTTTTTCTTTTATTCTTTTTCTCTTTTTTTCTTTCCTCTGTAGCTTTCAAAAATGCAATAAAAATATATTTTTTAAAAAGACTCTACGCGTATGGAAGCATATGTGACCTTTTCGCTTTGACGTTTGGATTTCCCCGCCTTCTTCACAACGAGCTCTGAATAATTCAGTTCTGCCATTGACTCTGCCTTCTTGTCCTATGGAAAGAGGTTAAGGAATCAGTGTCATCATTTGTGAGCTTCCCCCATATGTTTCCTGAACACTGGTACAGCCACAACATCAGCCATTAGGCCTCTAGCAAGTTACCGCTCCTTCAGATCAACCTTACTACAATCACTGCAATTACAGTCAAACCTTGGTTGTCGAATGTAATCTGTTCCAGGAGACTGTTAGACTTCCGAAACGTTCGACAACCGAGGATCAAAGAGCAGTTGGCAAAGTCAATAGAGAAAAAAAGACGAAAAAACTCCCCGGAAGCCGTTCAGCTTCTGAAAATCGTTTGAAAACCAGAGCAGCTTTTTCCGGGTTTTCGGCATTTGGGAGCCTAAACGTTCCAAAGGGAGGCATTTGGCAGCAGAGGTTTCACTGTACAGTGGTACCTCGGGTTAAGTACTTAATTCGTTCCGGAGGTCTGTACTTAACCTGAAACTGTTCTTAACCTGAAGCACCACTTTAGCTAATGGGGTCTCCTGCTGCTGCCGCGCCGCCAGAGCACAATTTCTGTTCTCATCCTGATGTACTGTTTCTGGGTTAGCGGAGTCTGTAATCTGAAGCATCTGTAACCTGAAGCATCTGTAACCTGAGGTATCACTGTACATCAGGTCTGCCTCACCTCTCAAACCTCCTCCCAGTTTCCAAACTTGCCCGTCTAGTATTATCTGTGCTAGCTAACAGTGTTTCAGGCTGTTATGTACTGAGTTGAATAGGATCCAAAATGCAGCAGTCTGATTGGTCCTAGAACAATGCAGCAGTATGATTGGTCTACAGGAGCCACCCAATCCAGCTCCAGGTGGAAGTGAATCCACAACCTGATTGGCCTACAGGAGAATCCCGGAATTAGCCAATCACCTGCAGCCCATTGTGTAAATAATGTATATAAAGCAGATATTGTGGGGGAACTTCCATTCCTCCTCACCACTATGAGCTGAATAAAGAGCATGAAATCCACTCTCGACTCCGAGTATATTTCAAGGCAGAAGCCAGTCTGCAGATATCGGGTATCAGACCCGAGAGCTTTGCCATGCAGCAGAATATCTGCGACTGAGCCGCAGCCCTTCTGCATCGCCTCCCAACCGTATCCAGCTTGGAGCCAGGTTTCTGAGCGCTACACTTGCAGGCCTGACTCTGTTTTTAAGCTCAGGGCTTACCTGACTCAGGCGTTTCGTCCCGGATCCTCTTGCTTGGCGGTGACCTGCAAATTCAGTTTCGTAAAATGTAGCGAGTGAGATGCAATCCGAACAAATTTTCCTCAAAATATAACCCATAGGAGGCCTATCCTTGGTTCCCGTCTCTTTGCTACGCTACAGCAGCTTTCACCAAGCTGGTGCCCTCTAGATGTTTTAGACGACAACATCCATTGTTGCTGCTGACCTTTAAAGCCCTAAACGGCCTCGGTCCAGTATACCTGAAGGAGCATCTCCACCTCCATCGTGGAGGTCCAGCGCCGAGGGCCTTCTGGCAGTTCCCTCACTGTGAGAAGCCAAGTTACAGGGAACCAGGCAGAGGGCCTTCTCGGTAGTGGCACCGCCCTGTGGAACGCCCTCCAACCAGATGTCAAAGAGAACAACAACTACCAGACTTTTAGAAGACATCTGAAGGCAGCCTTGTTTAGGGAAGCTTTTAATGTTTAATAGGTTATTGTATTTTAGTGTTTTGTTGGAAGCTGCCCAGAGTGGCAGGGGGGACCCAGCCAGATGGACGGGGTATAAATAATAAATATTATTATTATTATTATTATTATTATTATCAGCCACAGCCAACGCAGCACAGTGCTGGTGTGGTAAATTAATGGAACGGGCAGTGGGACTATTTGGGTTCGGGGTGGAGCCGTGCAGCCGCAATCTAAGCACTGTTTTGTTCAGTTGTTGTCTTTCATTCCTTTGTGGGGGGAAGAATTTTTTTTTAAAGGGATTTGCAGTGGGTGAAAAACCTCAAGAAAATCCACAAGAGAGATGCGATTTTCAAGTCTACACCTATACTTAGCATCCGCTAAAAGCTTCCTTCTTTAAGAAAGCTTTCCCAAATATGGAGAGTTCACATGTGTTTTTAATATGTTGTTTAAGATATATATTTTTAACTGCTGGTAGTGTTTATATTTTGGCTTTTTAAAGACTTAACTTGTTTTTAATTCTGGCTTGTATAAATAACGTTGGTGCGTATGTTATTTTATGCAAGCTGGTTAGGAAGGTTTACAATCAAGGGGTCTACAGACTCTGTTAAATAAATGAAAATAAGAGTGGATATTCTCTCTCTCTCTCTCTCTCTCTCACACACACACACACACACACACTTTGAAAACATTTGTTTTTTTTACAGCACCTCAATTAAAATATGGTAGGGTTGCCACAGGTCAAATGTAATTGTTTTGGGGGTCACCTTCAACCAGGGTGGATTTTATTTAAATCAAATGGATTTAAATCACGATTTAAATCACTAGTCAGTAAGACATGATTTAAAACAATTTTTTTACAGAAAGACTCACTCTTGCTGGTATAATCTTAATATTTACAACCAGATGATGGTTTCATTTTCAGAATAATAAATTTCCAGAGCGGTTTTTGCAGTTACATCAAAAAATTACCGATTTGCTTATACTATTAGAAATACATAGACAGATAATTACGAAATTACTGTGAGGTTTAATATCTTAACTGCTTCTATGTGGACAACTTTTCTGCTGTACTTTATTGGAAGGAGAAAAATAATCATTTCCTTAATAACAATTTATTTAACTAAAACAATAACATTATAGCATATGTATCCATGTTTGTTAATTTGATGTGGTTAAATGGTTTTTTTTATAAAAAAAACTTAGAGTTTTAGCACACATGAAAAACTTAAAACAAATCCTTATTTCCTGATGAATAGCCTTTGGACTACAATGTACCGTATTTTTCGCTCTATAAGACGCACCAGACCATAAGATGCACCTAGTTTTTGGAGGAGGAAAACAAGGGAAAAAAATATTCTGAATCCCAGAAGCCAGAGCAGCAAGAGGGATCGCTGTGCAGTGAAAGCAGCGATCCCTCTTGCTGTTCTGGCTTCTGGGATAGCTGCGCAGCCTGCATTCGCTCCATAAGACGCACACACATCTCCCCTTACTTTTTAGGAGGGAAAAAGTGAGTCTTATAGAGCAAAAAATACGGTAACTTAAATAGAAAACTATTTTTAGAAAGATTTTTCCTCCAAAAGCATTTTATTTTAAAAATCCATTTTGAATCAAAAAAATCTGATTTAAATAAAAAAAAAATCCAATTAATTTTTTTTTAAATCAATTTTTAAAAAAAAATCATTGATTTTTATCCACCCTGCCTTCAACCCCCAGGTCTGTCAAATGCCCATCTCTGGTTTAGAGACAAGCTTCAGTCACCATGCTCACCTTGTCTGTTCCTACAGTAGAGCACTATCAGAGGAGAAACTACAAAAACCACCAGAGCTAAGCAGAGCCCTGCCCAAAGCGCTATGGAACGTGTGCTATTTTCATCAGGTTTCTTAGGATCTCCTAGGAGAGAGAATAAATGGGGTATTACATCATCAAACTTCAGAATCAAGGTAACAAAATATTTTACGACACACTCACCCACTGTCAGGGAACTGACATCGGAGCTAGAGGCGGAGGGAAGGCTCTCAAATGATGCTGGAGAAGGGCCCAGCAGGGAGAGAGGCAGCTCAGCAGATGGGGAAGCAATTCAGCGCAACACCAGGAATAAAGGGGGGCAGATGGGGGAATCGGCGAGAGGGCTCCAGGACTCTTCACCGGACACCAGCGGGGAGAGCACTGGTCCCCCGCTACCCACGCCCACCCTGCGCAGAAGACTTCCGCGCAGAGAGAGTAGGAGGAGATTGGGTGTCAAACAACTTTTATGTTGGAAAAGATTTAAGAAACGCCCACTGACGGATTCTGCTAGCGACTGAGGCAGCCACGAAGTGAAGGGCTGCCCAGACTGAAAGGTTTAGCAAGGCAACAAAGCCTGGAGAGGCGGCAACTTACGCACGAGCAACCCATACTCATTGCACCCACATATGCACACAGTGCCGCAATACAGGAAGACATTGTGAGAAAATTTCAGATTAAATTCAACAGATCCTGCTGGATTGCTGTTGCGGCTTCTTTTCTTTCTTTCTTTTTAAGTTTAGATTTTCCTCCATGCATTTTTATACACTAGCACAGAGAATCTCTTGCCTCATAGCCGCCAACAAGAAAACACAGTCTTGTCCTTTGGCCTTGCATGGGGTTTTTCCCTCTCAGACAGAACAACCAACAGTCTATTTCTCATGTAGCACATGTTATCACACCCTGGTAATGGCCTTTCCCCTTAGCAGTTAGAATGTTTGGGAACATTCAGCGACATCACTGCTGCCCATCCAATCTAGGGGAGAACCTCAAAGCAGCAGCCGGTCCTTAGAAACTACAACTAACCCAGAATGCGGCCGCCAGACTGGTGACTGGAAGCGGCCGCCGAGACCACATAACACCAGTCCTGAGAGATCTGCATTGGCTCCCAGTACGTTTCCGAGCACAATTCAAAGTGTTGGTGCTGACCTTTAAAGCCTGAAGGAGCGTCTCCACCCCCATCGTTCAGCCTGAGGGCTGCCTTCAGATGTCTTCTAACAGTCTGGTAATTGTTTTTCTCTCTGACATCTGGTGAGAGGGCGTTCCACAGGGCAGGTGCCACCACCGAGAAGGCCCTCTGCCTGGTTCCCTGTAACTTGGCTTCTCATAGCAAGGGAACCACCAGAAGGCCCTCGGAGCTGGACCTCAGTGTCCGGGCAGAACGATGGGGGTGGAGAGGCTCTATACTGGACCAGGACCGTTTAGGGCTTTAAAGGTCAGCACCAACACTTTGAATTGTGCTCGGAAACTTACTGTAGATCTTTCAAGACCGGTGTTATATGGTCTCAGTGGCCGCTCCCAGTCACCAGTCTAGCTGCCACATTCTGGATTATTTGTAGTTTCCGGATCACCTTCAAAGGTAGCCCCACATAGAACGCATTGCAGTAGTCCAAGCGAGAGATAACTAGAGCATGCACCATATTTGGAGATGGCTCTCATTTCTCCTCCTAGTCTCCTCTTACACAGGCTAAACATACCCAGCTCCCTCACCCGTTCCTCAAATATGTCAATTCTTCACCCCCAATAACTGTCCACACAGAAGATCCAGAAGTACTACACCCCAGCACTTTCTACACAAGCAGCTTCAAGTGACAGGGAAGGTCTGTAGCTGCATCTTTCCTGAAACCCCGGAGAGCTGTGCTAGTCACTGCAGATTACAGTACAGTGGTACCTCAGGTTAAGTACTTAATTCGTTCCAGAGGTCCGTTGTTAACCTGAAACTGTTCTTTTTTTCTTTTTTTCAAAATAATATTTATTACTTTTCAAAAAAATTAAACACTAAAAAGACAATACAATACAATACAATACAATACAATACATTAAAACAAAAACAATAAAATAAATCAAACAATTTCATTATCCCATCTTTCATTCACTTATTTCCACGACCTCCTCACACCTCCCTTTTTGTATTCCACTTCTGTTAATTATTTCAGCAATTCCTTTCCATCTTCCTCTGTTTTCTATCCTATAATTATCTTAACTCATTCTAACCTTATTTTTCCTTTAATACTCTATTAATCTATTTATACTTAATTCCTTATAACATTTCTACTAAAGCCATGTAACTTCATTCCAACATTTTTCTAACATTCATTAATTTTACAGTGTTTCTGTAAATAGTCTTTAAATTTTTTCCAGTCTTCTTCCACCAACTCTTCTCCCTGGTCTCGGATTCTGAAACTGTTCTTAACCTGAAGCACCACTTTAGCTAATGGGGCCTCCTGCTGCTGCTGCGCCGCCGGAGCCCGATTTCTGTTCTTATCCTGAAGCAAAGTTCTTAACCTGAAGCACTATTTCTGGGTTAGTGGAGTCTATAACCTGAAGCGTATGTAACCTGAAGTGTATGTAACCCGAGGTACCGCTGTAAACTGATAATGAGCTAGATGGACAATCTCAGTAGAAGGCAACTTCCTGTGATAAAACCAGCAACATCTAAGTCTAGCCCACTGTTTTCCCAATGAACCCATCCCAGTTCCTTCCTTCCTTCTGACCAACTACAGTGGTACCTCGGGTTAAGAACTTAATTCGTTCTGGAGGTCCATTCTTAACCTGAAACTGTTCTTAACCTGAGGTACCACTTTAGCTAATGGGGCCTCCCGCTGCCACCGCACGATTTCTGTTCTCATCCTGAGGTAAAGTTCTTAACCCCAGGTGCTATTTCTGGGCTAGCAGAGTCTGTAACCTGAAGCGTCTGTAACCTGAGGTACCACTGTACATTCCTTCCACAGAGCCCAACCTCTTTACCTTTTGCAGCTTTAAGCACGCGAAGCTCAGTCCCGTTCCCTGAAGTCTCCTGGAATCCAGGGATCTTCACCACGCATCGATACACCCCCGAGTCGTAACTTCTCAGATCCCGTATCTCTATGTCGGCTCTTCTCCCCAAGAGGAAGGCCTGCTCCGAGGTGGGACTCACCCTTCCCATGAATTCCCAGGTGGTCTTTCTGACCTCCACCCCTGGCTCCTTCACCCACCGGAAGCTCCCAACCTTAGGCTCTGAGGTGGAGTTGTAGGAACAGTGCAAGGTGACGGAACCGCCTTCCGTGCCTTCTGCTGAGCTGGGCTGGGAGACCATGAGGAGTTCTTGAGCCTGGGAAGCTAGGAGAGTGGAAATGGGATGGGGGTGAGAGAGAAGGAAAGGCAGGAGTCCCCTTTGTTCATGGTCTTGACCAGTTCTCCCAGCCTAACCTCCCAGCATAGCTAAACTGTACAGTCTTAATGGTCCCTGAATGAGGCACCATTGTTCACACACGACTTATTTCCAACATGGTCAAGAGGAGGAAATAAAACTCATGTGGCTATAATTCCAGTTGCATTAGACCACAGCAGGAATGAGGAAGAAATTCAATTCAACTCCTCCTCTGCGTTCTGGAGGTGCATCCTCCTCAGTTCTTGGAAACCATATTTGGTGCTCTCAGAGTTAACGCTACTACTCATTTGTCCAGCGTGGTCAAGCAGATTCCACACCTGCAGAAACAGCTATATAGTTGCACTTGTTTGTGTTGGGACACACAATTGTCACAATTCATCGCAATATCAATTACAGTGGTACCTCAGGTTAAGTACTTAATTCGTTCCGGAGGTCCGTACTTAACCTGAAACTGTTCTTAACCTGAGGTACCACTTTAGCTAATGGGGCCTCCTGCTGCTGCCACGCCGCCAGAGCACGATTTCTGTTCTCATCCTGAAGCAAAGTTCTTAACCTGAAGCACTATTTCTGGGTTAGCGGAGTCTGTAACCTGAAGCCTCTTTAACCTGAAGCGTATGTAACCCGAGGTACCACTGTAATGTAATGTTTCAAATATTTTGTGTATCATTGAAGTCTGGTGAACTGTTAAAGCCTGGTGGTTGAATCTGACAAAGTATTACCTGTGGAAGTACGTACCACAATAAATTTATGGGTCTTTAAACTGCCACAGGACGCAACTTCATAAGCCTTGCTACAAGTGTTTAACGCGGCTAAACCAGAAAAGTCTGGTTTGGATTTGAAATATGTTATTAGAATCATGTAAGTGATAATCTGAAGGCAGCCCTGTTCAGGGAAGTTTTTAATGTCTGATGTTTTATTGTACTTTTAATATTTTGTCAGGAGCTGCCTAGAGTAGCTGGGGAAACCCAGTCAGATGGGCGAGGTATAAATTATTATTATTATTATTATTATTATTATTATTATTATTATTTATTATTAATTGTAGTTGCATTTTTACAAGAAACTGCCCTCTTCTATACGGCTATTAACAGAACAAGATCTCTGTCCTCCCTCTCTCTTGGACACCCTAACACCAGGGGAGCCTTGGAACGGTCAGCAGAGACCAGGAAAATGCACATGTCCAAGAAGAAGGAACATGAAATAGTCACTCCTTACCTGCCCAGAGGGTGAAGCAGAAGCAGAAGAACTCCAGATTCATCGTCGACACGAAGCAGCTAGGAATTGGTTTGAACGGCAACAGGGGCCAGCACAAAACCGAGTGCGCATAGCACGCTTCCACCAGTGGCTTCCGGAGAAGGCGAGCGCACGGTGGAAAATGTGGTCTGGTGGCCGGAAGGAAGAGGTGCTGCCTGTCCACAGGAAAACACAGCTCACATTTTCCATTCCGGGAGCCACTGGAGCAGGCGATCAATCCATCCCCCAAACCTTGCCAGCCCACCCATCGTCCCCCAAAGCTTTCCAGCTCTTTCTGTCGCTTGCAACCATAGCTCAGCGAACATGCTCTGTATGTACAATGTCCCACGTCTGATCCCTGGCCTCTCCAGTTAAACTAGAGGCGGGGAATGTGTTCCCCTCCAGAAGTTGTTGTTGTATAACTCCAATCCTCCCTGAACACTGAGCCACGCTGGCTGGGGCTGGTTGGAATTGACACTCAAACAACATCTGGAAAAGCCACGGGTTCACTAGCTCTTGAGTTAAAAGGTCTCTAATAGTAGGGATGTGGGTGGCGCTGTGGTCTAAACCACAGAGCCGCTTGGGCTTGCCAATCAGAAGGTCGGCGGTTCGAATCCCTGCGACGGGGTGAGCTCCTGTTGCTCGGTCCCTGCTCCTGCTAACCTAGCAGTTGAAAAGCACATCAAAGTACAAGTAGATAAATAGGTACCACTCCAGCGGGAAGGTAAACGGCGTTTCCATGCGCTGCTCTGGTTCACCAGAAGCGGCTTAGTCATGCTGGCCACATGACCCGGAAGCTGTACGCCGGCTCCCTCGGCCAATAAAGCGAGATGAGCACCGCAACCCCAGAGTCGGCCACGACTGGACCTAATGGTCAGGGGTCCCTTTACCTTAATAGTAGGGGGTGGGCAAATAAGTCCGTTTTGATTTCCTCTCCGTTTATCCTTTCTCCAGTCTTCAATTCGGTTTTCCGCATCTCTACATCGGCTTGTATTTCCAAGCCCTCGTGAAAAGTTGGCCTTTAAATCCAAAGTGAATTGAAATTTTCTTCTCCAGCCCTGGGAAAGGTGCTCTGCCCAAGACTTTGGGGGATGATTTGCAAGTCAGACTACAGTCACTGAGCTATAACGTTAGAGTGTCCACTAGAACCAGGGAGACCTTGGCTCAAATCTCCAGTCAGCTGTGGGTGGGGTTTCCTGGAGCTTGTCAACATCTTTCAGCCGCCTTCACAGCATTGTTGTGATAATAAAAAGAGAGCAATATTTGTATCAACAATCTCAATATTTTCTTTTATACTTTTATAAGCCTCTTAGAGGTTTTTAATAATCAAGAGTGGTATTTTTTTTCCCTTAAAAAAATGTTTAGGACTACTCTCATTTTCCTACTCACATTGAAATACTGCCCCTCAATGAGGCCAAACTTATATTCACAAAATGTTTAGGGGTATGCGTACCCCTGCGTCCCCCCAGGAAAAAAGCACTGATCAAGAGACATAAAAATCTTCTTAAAGGAAAATAATTGAATGAATTAAATTAACCATGCTGGTTTTTTTTTTTATCCTGAGTCCTTCACACGTGTCCTCGCCAGTATTTTGGGACAATCAGCAACCCTAATCTTCGGGGTTTTTCCTGTGACCTTATGAGTCCGCTAAGCACAGTTTCAGGTGTTATTCAAGTACGGTACAATTCTCTCAAGAACTCCTCTGTGGCAAACTGACTCAAATCCCTCTATAAACAGGCACAGATTTCCTCCCTCCTCCTTCTTTTTGCAATTTTCCTTGGGGAGGGAACAGTTTGCTGGCATTGCGCAAGCTCCCAACCTGGGGGGAAATCACTTCATCTCCTCAGATTCTCTATTTGCTCCACAGCTGTAGCTCTGGAACTTCAGAAAGTCCAGCCCTCCTTAGCAGAGGTTGGATTTGTGAGCAGAGCCTAGGACCGATGCGTTTCTTGTTTCTTGTTCTTTGCTGGAGATGCTGGTTTTGTAATAACATACAGCATGTTGCATCCACATCTGGAGCTGGGAGATTCCACAACTTCACCACTGGGTTCAGCAAAGCGATTCTTATCTCCAGTGGCTTTCTGGTTCTGATCTACTTCCCTCCCAATTGCAAGTCCCTCCTGTGTCACCCACAGAGCCTGCCCTTCTTTGGATTCGCAAGGGCTTCTTCAATTCCACAACCCCATCTTCCCAGAAGTGTGTGTGTGTTTGCTTGTTTGTTTGAGAGAGGCTCTTAAGTGCAGGGTCCGTGAAGTCACAACAGAGCAAACCACAGGGCTGAGAGAGGCAGGAAAGGGCTCTGCCACCTTCCAGACCACAAACAATGGCTCTTTGCGTCCACCCGAGCAACTCTGAGGAGGAGTTTTGCGGTGGCCGCTTTGATGCTAAGAGGCAACAGGCCTCTTGCACGGGTGGTCACGTCTCTCTCTAGCAGCGCCATCGAGACTAAACTCTCCCCTGGCAAGCTACTGCCGCTTCTGTTTCCTTCCAAACCACAACGCTCGCACTTCTTTTCCTGCCCTCGCTTTTCAACTTGCAGATTTCCTCGTGAGGCCCCATCAATTGTGTGAAATTGGATTGCGGGCCCGACTTTATCAGCCACTTTCTTTTGTTCTAGAAGTACCTTGAGTGGATTCCTGACCAAATATTCACTTCCTTGTTTATTTATTGCTTAACTAAAGACCCGCTCTTAAAACCTCGACAGCTTGTCTTCCTGCTTCCGTGTACATTACAAACCTGCAGTTATGGGCTTGATTGATTGAGGTAGCTGATAGACTCCTTCATTTTTTATTTAAAAAAACAAACAAATAGGGCACACCCGTTGAAATTAATGGAGAAAATAGGCTGGACCTCATTGGAGCTAACCCTTTTTATTGCTGCAATGAAACAGGTGCATTGTTCAGAAGAGAGCATTGTCATTTATTCATAATGAGAAGCTGGAGTTTCTCAAGAAGCTAGCAAGCTTGCCAAAAAGTCTGGAACAAAAACAACAAAGGGGCAGTATTTTCAGGTGAATTTTAGGTCACATTTTCAGATGAATTTTAGGTCACATTCGCGCTGTGCTGTTAAAACACTCTTTTATGACTTTGGCAGTCATGGCTTCCCCACCCCCCCACCCAAGAACCCGGGGCGCTATAATTTGTTTAGGGTGCTGAGAGTTGTTAGTTGTTGTTCACAGAGCTACAATTCTGCGGCTGTTGGGAATGCAACAGCAGAGATCATGCAGCGTGCAGCTGAAGTGTTAATTCTGTTCACGATCATTTGTTAAGGTACCACACGCTCTGACTGAATGCATAATTCTGACAGATTTTTCCTTCTATGTTTTAGTTCAGTGTTTCCCAAACTTGCTCCTGCCAACCTAGCAGTTTGAAAGCACATCAAAGTGCAAGTAGATAAATAGGTACCCCTCTGGTGGGAAGGTAAACGGCATTTCCATGCGCTGCTCTGGTTCGCCAGAAGCGGCTTAGTCATGCTGGCCACATGACCCGGAAGCTGTACGCTGGCTCCCTCGGCCAATAAAGCGAGATGAGCACCGCAACCCCAGAGTCGGCCACGACTGGACCTAATGGTCAGGGGTCCCTTTACCTTTACCCATACTTGTGCCTGTTTGAGGACTACAATTCCCATCATCCCTGACCACCAGTCTTGCTAGCTAGGGATGATGGGAGTTGTAGTCCAAAAAACAGCTGGAGACTCAAGTTTGGGAAACATGGTATTAGTTGAATGTTCACCACTTTGTACATGGCCTGACATAATATCAGAATTGTAGAGTTGGAAGGGACCCAGGGGTCATCTAGTCCAACCCCAGGAATCTTTTGCCCAAAGTGGGGCTCGAACCCACAACCCCAAGAGTCTCAAGTTATGCACTGTTTTATTCACTTTCCTCAGTAAAATGTTATCAAGACTTTTCCACCTGAACTCTGACTGTGTTGCTCAAGTGACTTTGCTAACAGTGGCTGGTGGGAGTTGCAGTCTAAAATATCTGGAGAGCACCAGGTTGGGGAACGCTGCTCTATCTAGGGTGGCAAAGAAATGGAACAGTCTGTGGGATTATCTAGGGGGGAAACTGGTTCGAAGAGATAATCATACTGAAGCTTTGCACAGCAATCTGAGGGCAATTTAGGGGATTAAAGCTGCTTATATCCAGGAAGCAGAACAATAAAAATGACAGTTAAATACCAAAGAATACAAATAAGTGAGAGGACATCCATGCACACAATGAAAGGGTAGAAAAGAGAGGAGCATTGTTAAATAAATCATATTTATTAAATAATACAGAAAAACGAAGAGAAAACACTGAACACATACATGCCCATCAAGAAGAAAAGGAAACAAAAAATTACGAAAACAGCAGCGTCACAGTTTATTGAGAGTTTTGCTGAAGGACATAATATGCCTTCGAATGTGTGTATGTGTGGTAAAGATCTTTCAGAGTGTCAGTCCCATCCACAATTTTGTTCTGGGCCATTTCATCTGTCTGTCTCAATCTTGCTTAGCTAAACTGACATTTCAGTGGTAATGTGTTGCATAATTTGCTGCCATGATCAAAAGTTAGCATTTAAAGTACCTCAGTTATACTTTTCGAAACAATACAAGAACTGAAACACAGCCGTCTTTCAAAATTCGCACTTCTCTGACGTTTGAAATGCAGTCCTCCAGTCTAGCAGTGGGTACCAAAATGCCGCAGTTTGTTTAAATTTGTGCATACCAGTGAAAATAAATGGCGAAAGTATATTACGTTAGGGGGAACTGCTCCTCAAAAACGTCTATATTAAGCAAAACTGAGTTTCAAAGATGCACGGAGTACAGAAATGCCGATGAATTTTCACAATGATTTGTTGTTGTTGTTTTAAATTGCAGGCTGATGTGGGAATGTGTAGAACCAATCTTAAGGCTAGAATGACCGCTCAACACACTAAATGGAGGGCGCCCTTTGTGTAGTCGCGTGCAGCCCCCTGGACCCTGTGTGGCTCCATTAGCACAGGCTTGGCTTTGCCTCCCCCCAGGTGGGATACCTGGAGGTCT